GGATACCTGGAAATCAGTTGATCTTGCTAATGATCGTATTGTTGTGGAATCGTAATCGAGTACGGTATTAAAGACATCCATAAAACACAAGATCACACATAGAATGAAGGGATAAACATAGAATCCTACCAGATTTCAGTACCATGATGGTAAGCCTTTCCGAGGCCATCTCCCAAACACGGTCTGCTATCGTCATCGTCATCTGGAGTCTCATCTTCTCCTTTCCGACACGCAGGCAAGTGAGGCACTATGTCGGCTCGATGAACCACACGGAAACTGAAACAATCGCGGTTATGATCAACATCGTTCAGCTGGATTCCATGGTCTTTGATGATCATTTGTTAGCATTACTGAGTCCTACATTAAAATCTCTCACTAATTACCTTCAAGAATATTGATCAACGAAGGCCTGAATCCTATTTGATGGATCTGAATCCTGCTTGCGCCAGTCACGTAGGATTCAGATCCTTGTGAACACACTCGGGCTTTTCACTCGAGTCTTTCAAAGGGATTCAGATTCGTCCTGGAACATTCTATTCATATAACTGGCTGGTAAGCAAGATGACGCTCCATTGTTGACCGAACTCGTGTAAATCATTTTATGGTGCATTGTTATAATGGTCTGCCTATGTGAGATATTTCGGCGCATTTGTTAGACTTGTATTAAATTGAAGTGATTTTTATGATTCAGTATGTGGTAGTTGTAGGTTGCTGATTCCGATAGATGGATGAATAGCTGCGATTATAGTGGAATCAAAACTACTCGTATGAGGCTAAGAGCGAATATGGAATAAATGAACGATTCGATGAGAATAGAATCTAGCGAACATGAATACTCACCTGTATGGCACCAGTTCGTCGAATTTATTCGAAAACGATTTATCTCCAACACGAGGCTCTCCAAACGTTATCAATTTTATCTCGTCTGACCTTCGCAGGTCTTCCAGCACCGTTCGTATGGCAGCTAACGCCGCCAATGCACCACCTGAAACATCACCAAATATGATTTTCAAATGATCTGAGTGGTTCACTCTAAAGCGATTGAACCGTCCGGTCAAAAATTATCCAGAAGGTGAAAGACAACGTTTTCATCTAAAAATTCACCTAATGAATGCCCCGTGAACGTCACTCCATAGCTCTTAAAGTTTGGGTCTTTTAATGTTGGCAGAACATTCGGCCAAATTGCATCCAGAGCGTGGAAGAAGTAACGATTGACCTGAAATGCACAAATTTAAACTTTATTTTTCAGCTTCTGTGCGATTCGATTGATTTCGGGCACTTTTGGTTTGATTACAGCGTGCAATTCCAGCTTTTACACTATATCGAGAACAGCGCCAAATCATTCAGCGGACTGACTATGAATTGGAATCATATAGACTCATCACATAGAGAACATTCGAACCATTGCGTGCTCACAAGCTTAGGCTCTAGATCTTCGTGAGGATGAGGCAATTGAATAAGAGATACGAATGAATTTGCATGCCTTTCCAACCCCGAAGAAGTCATGACCGGGTTTGAGTGATTTCCAACCCTCCAGCAAGAGTTGTTTCTTGGTTTTAGTGCCACGGAATACAACGATAATTTGTCTCAACTTGTCTGATCTCAACGTATATCCTGCACAACTGCTTTCGTGCGTATCACAAACAGTGTTCGCCTCATTCACCATATACCAGTGGTCGTCTGATGGCAATGTGCTGAAATTCAAAGTCAGTTGCATTCAAATCACAACTACTTTGATATTATGCCTCAGTAAGCTATTTGAATGATGCAGACACCCTCTGAACAGTGTTATTGAAATATATCAAATGGTTTAGGCGACTGCATCAGATGGCAAATCAGATGGCGTTATATAATATTCAACGTTTTTTGCATGCAAATTCAGCGCTAATATGAGTACATCGCTAACGAAATTGCACTGGACATCAAATATCATGAACTCGCAGGTCCTAAGAAAAGTCACATCGCCTAAAATCACCCCTGCCAAAACTTGAACAAACACTTTGCTTATGTGCATTGAAGTAGACTGAAACGATCTCAGCAGATCGATCGGCAGCCATCTGGCGAAGAACGGAACCAACCAATTGACTGACTCACTTATTAACGCATGTTTCAGGCATATTCGAATAGGCAGCCGCTGCTAAATTGACGAGTACTTTTGCTTCAGCTTCATTGTATTTGGTCAAATGCAGATGTACAGCACAAACGGCTGATATCAATAGAGTAACTGTTACGGAAAACAACAGTACACTGCTATGCTCCATTCGAAAAACTGGACTCCTGAAAGTATGAGGGCATTCAAAATTTCTGTGAATTCAAGCATTCACGTGGTGCTTTATTGCGAAACGTTTCATGTGCGGGGAAAAATAGCAACGGAGTGTATAAAATCATCAGCGAGATCTTCAAGCACATCATATTAAAAGAGTAAAACATTAGGTTGAACCTGAGAGGAACTGCACAATAATCAACAATCGAATAGCTGGAATACAAAATCATCAACTCAAATGCAACAGCAATTTCCAACTGTCAACAATTCATCGCACAAAAGACACCTCGTAAAAAATATCCTCCACAAAACGCAGTGAAATAATTCAACATTCAGAGATGAAATACAACAAACACAAAGGAACGCTTTTGAATTAAATCAAATACATTGAAAATAAAGTACTCGAATTGTAAGCCAAAATGATTGCAGCAAACATTTCATAATTTGGAAGCACTCGACTGCGAGTTAAACTCCAAAACTGCATCAAATAGAACACTGATTCATTGCTGATGTGAAAGAGTCTGCTTAGCTCTTCGTTCAGAATGAATTTAAATGGTTGAAATTGTGCATTCAATCGGTCGTCGATATAATCACAGTTTAATCCTGTCACAATAATTTCGATGACAAAATCAATTTTCATTTCAGTTTCGTTGTTATTGAAAATGAACGCACTCCATGATGATGACTATACGCATGACCATTTATTCGCACGAGCATGCAAATAAACACCATTTCTGATGAATCATCCACAAAATTTCACTTGAATACTTCACTGAATGGTTTTTGTCTGGTTGACTAACTGTTGAGTAATTGTAAAGGAATGAATTGTTAGTTCAGCTCTGAAAACAGCGAACTATCACTGATATTAATAAAATAGATAAGTGTTATCGTTTACGATTGCCAATGTAAAGTCAACAAATGCAGTATCATCTTCGAATGGCACTTGGTTTTCTTGGCAGTTATTTTCATCAGTACAACTCTCTTCACCATATCTGGTGAAGAGAGTTCCCTTAATTCCACAAATTATGCGTTTTCAGCTGAGATATTGGTCTCACTGATCGCAAATTTGTTTCGGATGGTGAGAAGAAATTCACGTTGTTTTATTTTTAGGACTTTAACGCACTATAACATCGCGAAAGCAACAAATCAGAACATCTTCAAGGATCTAGTGCATTTCTGGAGTCGCAAGTGAAATTGACACCATTCAACTGTGTAACGCTGTGCAGACAGATGTGCAAAATCAAAACAAACCCGAGTGAAAATAGAAGCAATCGACGGGGCAAAATGAGGTTGGGAAGGCAAAGCAAAGAAAATTCGAAAACGTGACATAGATCAGGTAATGAGGGAAAAACCGGTTCTCATCATAACAACAGATTACTTTTGTTGTCGGTTTTATTTAGAAGTGATACAATGCGATTTCATGTCTTCTCCACATTCGCTTTGTGCTTTCATAGTTCTAGGCACATCTTCTGAGCGATCAGACAGACAAAACGAAGCCGAAAGGTCAGTCTTGTCGAAATTCATTGGGATATCCCTCATCATGTTTCCAAAATACGCCTTCTTCGATGAGCATTCTCTCAGCCCGTGCACCCTTTAAGTGTCTATGCATCTACTTCATGCATCCTTCACAAAAGTTGCCTCAAGAGGCGATCCTGACAGTGAGAATAATCCCGCAACTTCACTTTCCATATGATCTGCCTCANTGTTTGATAGCTGCAATCAGTTCAGAGCAGATTATCGAATGAGCACTTCAGCATGACAATCCAACTGCTTGTGTTGTCGCTTGTGAGATGCCATTGAGTGAGTTTGAATGAATACTTCATTAGTACAATGAAATATGTGGAAGTGTTTATCTTTTTGTTGAATATCTATACATTTTACACATAAGTGCACACAAACCATCACCAAATATATCCCGTTGCATTCATATCAATCATGTGGCTGGTCGTTTTCGCAGTAATGACGACGGTTACTATCAATTATCGAAATCTTTACACTTTTAGTCATTTTTACACTCTTGAAAGAATCTTTTGACAGTTTACACCAGGGCCACGGGTTGATTGTTTAAACCAGAGGAGCCAGATTGATGTGCTTGAAAAATGAGAAATTGTTAAATGACGGTGTCAAAGTCCTCATCGAATGGGTAGATGAGTTAAATCGTTTTTAAACAGCCCCAATCAGTTGTGAAAAGAGTACGAATGCTTAAGTGCGCATATGCATAGACTTGGTGAGAATATGTTATTAGAAGAAAATCATAGATGTATTGTTTGGAGCTCTAATGACAGCAGATATATTTATGTACAATCAGAAACAAAGGCACAATATACAGGTAAAGTGGTCAAGAAATCACTGGACTATCGAAGATCAAATGCAGAAATGCAGAAACAACAACAATAATATCATAGTCATCATCATGAGGCGAATTCGAATATTTTGAGATTCAAACAATCCGTCGTAATCAATCCTGCCAATCGTAAGGTTCATCCGCTTTAATGCCGTTATTTTTCATCGCCAACTGTATCAGTTGTTTCAAAAACCCGTAGTCAGGCTGACTCTGGTAATTGAGACTGTCGATATAATTCAAAATACGACGAAATTCAACCTGAAAAAATGAAAATTAAAATGACCAAAGTGTTGAATCACATAAAGTGAGTTTTCAATGAAATCGAAATGAGGAGCAAGCTCATGAGGTCAACAACTATCGTGTTTTCTTCTCTTGATTAATAATGAGAATTCTTAAAATTGATGTGGGATTTTGAAGTATGACGGATATGATGCTGAAGCCAACATGCTGAAGCACTTTTCATAGCGATCAATCAAAGACGAGATCAATCAAAGTCGAAATATTCCCAATTTTTGCCTACAAATCATCCATATGCCACTGATTTTCATTTAGATCACTCAAAATCCATTCATACAGAGCAAGATCAAACGAATTTAGCATATTTTTGTTACAGAGATCATCAACGAATCTCAGTAACTTACGTCAGTCCCATTATGACAAAAAATTTGTTCACAGTCCTATCGGGAATGATTGAAATAATCACCGATTACTGATTGAAAAAATATTGACAGTGAGAATATTGAGAGCACATTGGAGGTTTAGCATTCAGTTCATGATAAATACATATTTTGTGAAAAATAATTAAGCAATGGCTTGTTTTCCAGCTTATCTGATGATTTTTTGCTCTTGAAAGCGTACATTATAACGATGCTGAGTTGGAAAAAATCAGTGGTGATATAATGTTGCCAAGGGACTTTCATGAAGGTATCAGTAAGGAAATAGTATAACTTTGAAATGAAATCAAAAATCTATTTTCGAAAGAATTTCCGAATAATATATCACTGTTAACCTTAGGGCAGTGCTTGAGGAGTTTCTGCAGTCCATCGTGGTTGCGACAATTTTCTTTCATCTTTTTTACTTCATTTCGCTCCGAATGATGCAGTTCAGTCCAAGGCAATTCACCTGATAATTTGATCAATCACTTTAATTAGATGATCAGTGGATGAGATCACCTTTTATTAATAGCATAAGCTGGTGCAGATGCATAGAGCTGAATGGCTCTACTCTAAGATTGCTTAGAATTCAAATTCTGCAAATATGGCATCAATTTCAACAGACAGCATGAGAACACTACATGTGGTCGGTTGGTTACATAAGTTTTCGATCTATGCTGATGATAGTTCAAGCCAATCAGGCATATGTTTTGCTCACGATCAACGAATAAATCAAATTCCGCACTTGAAATCATTTCAATTAACATGTAGAACCAAGACTCCAGGTCATCTCTCCTGGACTGCTCCTTCTCGTTGTGTGTTGTTAACGAGGCGTATCGTGTGGTACCTCTGCAATATTCCAGTTGATCACTCAAATGCGCCATTCAAATTCACTCAAATTTACTGGAATTGGACCGTTCCGAACAATTAATTTCATTTCTAACTGCATACTTTTCATTTCTCGTCACAATTCGTGTAATAAAATTCCAATTCGGATTCAGTCTTAAATGAATCGAGTAACTTCAAACAATGTAATGAAAGATGCGTGGCATGACTCATCATTATTGAATGAAACACTGTAAAGCAAAAAGTTCTTCAGAAATCCATCAAATAAATGGCGCGTGTAAGAAACGTAATGATTCATCAAGTCAATTGGTTCAATCATCATTTTCAGCTACAATTTTCGGTGCATTCAAAATTCGCCCCTGCTCAGGAGAGTTCTATCGGAATTATCAGGATTCGGCAAGCAAAACAAAAAGAAATCGAATTTGTTCGAATAAAACCTCAAGACAGTTGCAGTGAAATTACCTGAAAGGCGCTCGGTCTCGTGGAGGTTTTAGTTCACCTTTAGAGTTTCGAAACGATCGACATAGACCAAAATCAATGATATAAACATTCAACGGTCCCGTATTCTCACGATTGATAGCGAAATTCGACGCATGAAATGATAGCATTGTGAATTACATTAATTCGATCAATTCTTCTAGGCAAAAAATTAATTTCGCTCTTTTGAATCGGTCCAGAGTAAGATAACCTCCGCATCTGCTCGGAAGTTAATTAAAACTTCACGCTTTCACTTCTTCATTTCCGATTAGATGTTCAGT